GTCTTTGTTTTGCTGAAATGACACTTGGGGGGTAAACCTGTGTGCTCAGAAAAGAACAAAGAGCTTTGTGGAATGATTTCCCTGGGGTCTTCTGGGTCTATATCTCCAGAAACATCATCCCATAACTAAAACATGACCTATTGCAAGAAAGAACTGAGCCTCATCAGTTTGCCAAGAAATACTTGGACAGTCTCTTTTTTTCTTGAAATACCCAAACCTTCCTTAGATCTAATATGAAGGTGGCTATTTGAGTTGGTTCCTGAAACTTGAGTATACTGAGCAAATATTAGGAATTGATTTTATACTAAAAAATATATTTCTACCTGCTTTAATTTTTTGTTTTTCCCCCTTCTTTTATTAAAGTATTTTTTTCAATCAGAATTTCAGTTTTTAGCTATGTAATTTGTTTGTCCTTGCAGTTTGTAATTCATTTGACAACGATGATCTTACTGCAGTTTTTTTTCCCTAAAAATTTCTTTTCATAATGATTTCATCTTTGAGTTCTTATTTTACTGAACTCATGTTTTTTTTAAAATCAGAATAGGGTCATTTATTTCGGTTTCCTAAATTGTTTTCTTTCAGACTAGATTCTTATTTAATCTATTGCATGATCTCTTCCTTTTTTAATCTTTGTGAATTGTCATTCAATTTTGCATAGCTCTTTTTTTTCATCATGTTTATGTTTATGTTTAACACAAGCAGCTCTGTCCCTACTTTGGATATGTTCTTTTTTCCCTAATATCTGTTCTAACATAAGACAGATGACACCTCCTTGACCCCTTCCTAGGTTATCTCAAAATGAGGGGAGGGGAGGGGGGATAGGAAGGGGATAGGAAGGGCAGCAGAATACAACAGACACTAGTATGGCGTATGTATAAACGTGGCTGTATAACCAATGTGATCCTGCAATCTGTACACATGGGAATAATAAGAATTCATACCCCATTTGAATCAAATGTATGATATATGATATGTCAAGATCAATGTAACGTTTTGAGCAACTAATAAATTTCTGATGTTAAAAAAAAAGAATGTTATTTCCCCACCTTGAGCTTCTCTCCACCCAGTGGGGATTGAACCCTGGATGTCTACCACTGAGCTACATCCCAGTCCTGTTTATTTTTATTTTGAGACAGGGTCTTGCTAAATTGCCAAGGTTGGCCTCGAACTTGTGATTTTCCTGCTTTAGCCTCCTGATTCTCTGGGATTACAGAAAGGTGCCCAACCTGAATTAATTTTTCTTTTCTTTCTTGTGTGTGTGTGTGTGTGTGTGTGTGTGTGTGTGTTGTTGGGGATTGAACCCAGTTCCTCCTGAGCTATATTCCACTGCCTTTTCTACTAGCCCTGAATCAGAAGACAGAAAACTCAGGTTTTCCTGTTTTTGATTTTCTTTTTTCCTAAGCAGTGAGAGGCCACTTTGCCTTCCCTGGTCACTCCCAGAATTTCTTTCTTTTTTTTTTTTTTTCCTTAGCTGATGTTTTTAAAAAGTTATAGAGTTAAAACCTGGTATTGATACCGCCAGTTACTGGTGATGAGTCCTGCTCCCCACATGTTGAAGTATAACATTAGAGAAGCACGCTGAGGCAAGCATATAAAGCAGGGCTTATTTAAAAGGGATAACAGGCTTCTCCCAGGAGGGAGACAGGGGCCATAGCTGGTATCCTGGTATCCCAAGAAGGTGTTCTGTCTTTCTTATGTGTCCTAGGCTTCCTTGTTCTCCTGCTGTCTTCCCTCTATCTTTCTCCTTCCTGTTCATGACTAGGCCAGGAAATGCTGCGTGGGATGGCCAAAAGGTGAGAAGCAGGTGGACAGGGGAAAGTCCGCATGAAGCTCCCAGGACACTATTAATTGACGACTTTATAACTCCCTGTAGGGAGGGGCAATTCCTGGGACAGGTTACTTTAGCAACAGATTGAAGTTGCTGGTTATCTTGATAGGGTAGAGGAAGGGCTCTGAAGGAATTAACATTTCAATTCCTCCATTCTCTGGATCTGACCCTTGCCTATCTGCCTGTCTAATTCTGGCTTCAGTATGGTGGTGCAGGCCTCTAATCCCAGTAATTTGGGAGGCTGAGGTAGGAGGATTGCAAATTCCAGGCCAGCCTTAGCAATTTAGTGTAGACTCTATTTCAAAAAAGGGATAGGGATGTAGGTCAGTGATAGAACACCCCTGGGTTCAATCTGTAGTACCCAGGAGGGAAACAAATTAAGCCAGATAATTTAAAAAGTAAAGTATAGCAAAATTTTGGCTAAAAGTGGCCAAAGAAGGAAAACAGTAAAATCTAATTGCATATTTTTTCTCCCAGTACTGGGGATTGAGTGTTCTACCACTGAGCTACATCCCCAACCCTATTTTTCATTTTGAGACAGGGTCTCTCTAAGTTGGAGAGCCTGATCTCCTGCCTCAGCCTCTAGAGTCACTGAGATTACAGGCCCATGCCACAATACCCAGCTATTTGGCTGAATAAGATTCTGTGGTTTGATTTCATTCCACCCGCTTTATAATTTATAATCTTTAAAGTTTGTATTTCCTACCCTGTCCTCAGCACATGAAATCTGTGGTCTGGCCTCAAGCACATGGACCAAAGTATTTTCTGGAAGAATCAGATAAACATGATGAGTCAAGTACTCTACATAACTTTCACAAGTAGCTTCACTAGAGGAGAAAGCCCTGAAGACACAAGAGTGCCCTCTAACATCCTAATATACCAGCTTCCATGTTTAATAAGACACATCCCAGATAATATGCAGGGTACTTAGTAGAATTTGAATTGAAGATCTAGTGAATAATAGGGTTTTTTTTTATTATTTTAAGTAGGTCTCATATAACATTTGGGATATGTTTGTATGAAAATTTGTTGTTTCTCTGAAATTCAGATTTAACTGAGTTTCCTGGATTTTTTTCCTGCTTAAATCTGGCAATGCTATTCCACCACTACTATTTTACAAGCATATTTTCTGGGCCTACTAAATTCCTCCTCTTTGATGTTTTCCTAATATTACTGACATCCTCATCTCTTTTTCTAGTAGATTTATTGCTGTGCCCTGTCTGTAGCCAGTCTTACTAATATGTCTTGGACTTCTAGTTTTTAGATAATAGAAATCTACAAATGGTGGGGGGCTGAGACTGTAGCTCAGTGGCAGAGTGCTTGCCTGGCATGTGTGAGGCCCTGAGTTCAATCCCCAGCACCCCATAAACAAACTAAATAAACAAAATAAAGATATTGTGTCCATCTACAGCTAAAAAATTTTTTTTTAAAATATGGAATTTACAAATGATAGAGCATTGTGAAGTAATTAAGCACAATTAACATTTATCCTCAGTTTTTTAGTCCTTAGCCGAGGATCAGTAATAAAGTACACAAAACAGCCTTTTAGTGACCAAAATAGATGTCATACATTCCATGCATGACGTGCTTGTTCTCTTTATTCCTAGATGTTCATGTCAAGCTTTTGCTCAAGATCTTTGAGTTCTACATAAATATTTTTACACCAGCTAGCTTAGTGGACCATGGCAGAACAGAAGCAGGAGATTAAGGGAACTGTTGGAGTTCAGGAACAAGGACAGTGATTTGCATGACAGCAGAACACAGGAGGAGACCAGAGAATGAAAGACCTTGTATCTGACTCTAGGAAGTTCTGGGAGGACTGGGTGCAGGAACAGACAGCTCTAAATGCACCAGTTTTGCAACTTTCAATGCCACAGAGCCATCAAACCATTCAACTGGAGGATGTTTTAGGATGATTTTGGTATTAGATACCTAATTAAACTTACTTAAGCATAAAGGTATGTATTAGTTCATGTAATTAAATCAAGGTTAGGCGGTGTCTTAGCTTTTGCATTGTTGTGACCAAGATACCTGACAAGAATGACTTAGAGATGGAAAAGTTTATTTGGGGCTCAGGGTTTCAGAGGTCTCAATCCATGGACCTCAGACTCCATTGCTCTGGGCTCAAGATGAGGCAGAACATCATGGCGGAAGGACCTAGCAGAGAAGAGCAGCTCAGCTCATGGCAACTGGGAGGCAAAGGAAGAGAGGGGAAGGGGCCCGGAGAAGATGCACCCTTCCAGGGCAGACCCCTGGTGACCTCCCTCCTCCAGTCATGCCTCCCCTGCCTACAGTTACCACTAGTCAGTCCATTTAAACTAGGGTGGAATTATTAGTTTCCAGTTCTCATAATCCAATCATCTTACCTCTGAATGTTCCTGAATTAACAGTAGCTTCTGGGGATACTTCCTATCCTAATCACAACAGTTGGTTTCATGAACTTCTGAATTCAGTGCTCAAAATTGTTTGAAACATTTCCCTCCCCCACCTTTTTTTGGGTACCAGGAATTGAACCCAGGGGAGTTTCACCACAGAGTCACATCCCCAACCCTTTTATTTATTTATTTATTTTAATTTTGAGACAAGTTCTCACTGTGTTATCCAGGTTGGTCTCAAACTTAAGATCCTCCTTGCCTCCGCCTTTCATTTCTTCTGTATTTTCTGATGCATGAGTCTGCTGCCTCAAAGTTCCTAAAAGGCAGGTGGTAGTCACTCATGAGTATTTGTTATAAGAATGGAGGAGTGAAATTATGGTGGACCCTGAGCAATTTGTGATGGAGAGAAAGTACCTTGTTTCAATAAGTTTCTAGAGTTTTTATTGGTGGGTTGAACCAATAACACTAGAGGTAGATGGAGAATGAGGGAGGGAGTAAGGTAAAGTAGAAGATAAGAGAGCTTTCTTTGATCTCCTGAATGGCTGGAGAGTTGTAGGTTGGCCTTGTGGTTTTTTCTTCTCACATTTACCTGTATCATCTCTAGATATGAGGGTGGAATCACCTCCTGGAGCCTTTGAGCTCTGACAGTAATGGAAATCACCAACTGACATGAAGATATTTTAGTAGGACTCAGATGCATTTAGAACTTCTGTTTTGTTAACTTCTCTCTGGGATTGGTTTAATTATTCATGTGGTCTTCCAAATTCCTAAAGTAAATTGTTCATTGTTTTTTCTAGACTCAGGCTGCATGAAGAAAAGGTCATTAAAGATAGACGACATCATCTCAAAACCTACCCAAACTGTTTTGTTGCAAAAGAATTGATTGACTGGCTGATTGAACACAAAGAGGCTTCCGATAGAGAGACGGCAATTAAGCTCATGCAGAAATTAGCAGACCGGGGCATTATTCATCATGGTGAGTGAGGTGGCCACAGTCAAGGTGACTTGAGAGGAAAAATAGGGCTAAATCTTTCATGAATTTAAGAAATGCAAAAAGAAAAAGAAAAAAGAAATGCATATATTACTTTAAGTTGTCTCTTGTGTACCTCTTCCCAGTTGCATTCCTGTCCTCCTGCCAAGAGGTATTGGCTTATTTCCATGTACTTTTTTATACTTTTCCTTTCTATGTATACATCTCTTAAGTAGCGTGTCATGTTGTTTTAAGTGTTTTGAGCCATTATAAGAATGCATGTTTATTCTTTTGTGACTCGAACAATACGCTATGAGATTCACTCATGTTGGTAGTATATCTGTTCATTTTGCTGCTCTCGTACACTTATCCATTCCTCTGTTGATGGAGATCCAGGTTGTTTACGTTTTTGCCATTTCTCTCAATGGTTCAGTTAACCCTCATGAACACATTTCGAAATCTCTCAGCCTCGTTTGGACCCTTGCATGTGCTCCTCTTCTCGGGGCTGGGATACCAAGCCTCTTCCTTTTTGCCCAGTTACTACTTACTCTTCAGATTTCCATGTACAGACTTTTCTAGGGAGCTTTGTTTCCCCAAAGTTGGGGTCCTGGGCTCTCCTTTCCCCAAAGTTGGGGTCCTGGGTTCCTGGGCACTGGTCTCTCTTTACCTCTTTTTTGTTTGGTTGGTTTTTTCCCAGTACTGGGGATCAAAAACAGGGTTGCTTTACCAGTGAACTTCATCCCTAGCTTGTTTTGTTTTTTGAGACAGGGTCTTACTAAGTTGCCCAGGCTGAATTTGGACATGTCGAGGCTGGCCTCATACCTGTGATCCTTCTGTCTCAGCCTCCCCCTGGGATTACAGGCATGCACCACTGTGCCTGACTCTCCTCTCCCCTTCATGGCCCTGTCACACCATGTTTTAGCTCCATGCCGTCATTTCTCTCTGTCTCACTAGATTGTGCATTCTTTGAGGCTAATGTCTGCCTTAATATCATCTTAAGAAGAGTCTGTAGAATAAATGATGAATTTTGTGAACCTCTTAATAGATAATAATGATGATGATGATGATAGCTAGTCAGACTGAGCACTTACTGTGTACCAGGTATCGTGCTAAATGCTGTGCATGTATTTACCCGTACAGTAGCCATTTGTGTGCTTGCAGAATTAGGAAATGAAATGATTCTTACTTAGCAACTTACATCACTTGAGTAATTAAATACAGAGTGATTCGTTTTCCTCATTTGCCTCTCTGTGCATGTTGTGTTTCAGTGTGTGACGAGCATAAGGAGTTCAAGGATGTCAAACTCTTCTACCGCTTTAGAAAGGACGATGGCACCTTCCCGCTGGATAATGAGGTGAAGGCGTTCATGCGAGGACAGAGGCTGTATGAGAAGTAAGTGTGTGGGGACCCCGAGCTGTCATCCTGACTAGTAGAGAGAAGCAGGGCGGTCTCCGTCTTTCCTTCTGTTGACTTCAGCCTGGCTTCTCCACGGGGGCTGGTTACATAACTGTTCCTTTTAAGAGGAGAAAATGCGATCACCCATTTGCTTTTCTCTGCCAGAAATTAAGTTGATTTCATAAGATTCTTAATAAAGAATGAAGTCATCTTTTCTATATTTAAGTCAATTTAACAAAAACTCCAAAAATGAAAACAAAGGATGGGGTTTGGCGCTCCCCTTCGGGTGAGGCTGGTGCCCTTTACCATGTGTGAAGAGGAATGCTGCTGCAGCAGCAGGAGGCTCAGGCTTGGAATTAGCTAGAAAAGTAGAGTCAAGGGCAGGGGAAGATCAGGGCTCATCAAGAGATACTTGAAGTAGCAAGAACTTCAAGTAGCATAATGTCTACAGGAATCATCTTTCTACTCTCCTTTTATATATATACACATACACACACACACCAGGGATTGAACCTGGGGCACTCAACCACTGAGTCACATCCCCAGCCCTTTTTTATATTTCATTTTGAGACAGGGTCTCATTGAGTTGTTTAGGGCCTCACTTTTGCTGAGGCTGGCTTTGAACTTGTGGTCCTCCTGCGTCAGTCTCCCGAGTTGCTGGAATCACAGGTGAGTGCCACCATGATCATTTTTCTGCTCTTCTGAAAAGGATTCTGTTGTTGGATCTTGAACCCCCAGGAGTCTGTCTCTGAGCTGACCTGCTACTCTATGGCTTCTTCCTCATTCTACCTATCTTTTTTTTTTTCCCCAGGGTAACCATTAGAGACAGGAGTGCAGAGGACTTAGCTCAGGGGTAGCGGGTGTGTCTAACATGTGCAAAGCCCAGGCTCAATCCCCAGTACCACCAAAAAAAAAAAAAAAAAAAAGCAGAAATCAGAAGCCATGCCACATCCCAAGTGTGTAGCTCAGATGTCTGGGACATAGGAAGACCCCATGGGTGACAGCCATTCCCGATGTGAGCTCAGTATTGATGACCACCCTCAAATCTGTCCTTCCTGTGCTATGTGCTCTGTCCGACTTCTGTTTGCCTGTTTCTGTGCTGGTCTTGTCTCACTGTTTTTGGTTGGTGTTATATTTTATTTGTTTTTGGTACTAGGGATAGAACCAGGGGTGCTGTACCACTGAGCTATATTTTTTCTTTTCTAAGAATGGCCTTGAACTTCAACCTCCTGAGGCACTAGGGTTACAGGTGTGTGCCACCACATCGAGCTTGTCTTACCATTTTATATCCCAGTATGCACTAGCTCTTCAGTCACTTATTTTTTAACTTAAAGTGTAGAAAATCCCTCATCTCCCTGACTCACCTGAAGTTGAATGGAAGGATCCACCAGCACCTCTATTGGAATATTTGAGCTTCTACTTGATGTTGTTTTCTTTCACTTTCTTGGTTCCATTTATAAAATTCTAAGAGGTATTAGATATTTAGATACCAAAACTTCAAACTACGATTCTGTGTTGCCAAAGCCATTCATGCCCTCTCCCTGCCGCTTATCCTTTGAATCTGGATATCCACACTTTAGGACAAGTATTAGCAGCAATTTTAAAAGTCTAGAAGAAGGGTTAGGGCTATAGCTCAATGGTGTAGTGTGTTCTAGCATGCAATGAGGTCCTAGGTTTAATCCCCAGCCTTATAAGGAAAAAAAAATGTGAAAATGTCTGGTGTCAGCTTTTATTGATAACATGAAGATTACGATGGCAAGATAATAATAAGAAGAGTTAAAGTTGTTGACACCTTCTAGAAAAGGGACTCCAGCCTCACCTCTGTTGCTTCTCCTCTCATCCTATGTATGCATATTCACATGCATATCTCTGGACCATCCGAATATTCTGTCTGCCTTCAGGAAATATATTTACTCATTGATTATTTAACAGATCTATGTTGAGCCTTTACCCCATGCCAAGCACTGGAAATGTTCCCTGAGCTGGGCTTGGTGGCCACATGCCAACTTGGGAGGCTAAGTCAGAGGATTGCAACTTAGAGGCCAGTCTCATCAAGTTAACAAGATTCTTTCTCAGAACAAAATAAAATAAAATAAAAAGGGCTAGGTATATAACTCAATGGTAGAGCATCCCTGGGTTGAACCCCCAGCACCTCTCTCCCCACCCTGCCACACACAAAAGGTAATGAGGCACAATGCTGGTGGTTGTCACTGTTAGAAAAGTAGACTTACTGAAGGTGGTGAGGTGTTTTAGACAGGGGGGTCAAGGAAAATGTCCCCAAGGAGATGCCATTTGAATAGCATGAGTTTTGCAGATGTCTGGTGGAAGGTGACCCAGGCAGGGGAACAGCAAGGGTAGAGTTTTTTGGTTTTGTTTTGATTTGTTTTTGGATACCAGGGATTGAACTCAGGGGCACTCGACCACTGAGCCACATCTCCAGCCCTATTTCATATTTTTTTTTAGAGGCAGGGTCTCACAGAATTGCTTAGCTCCTCACTTTTTCTGAGGCTGGCTTTGAACTTGAGATCCTCCTACCTCAACCTCCCAAGCCACTGGGATTACAGGCATGTGACACTGCACCCAGCTGCATGAACTTTTTGATGGGTTCTTCAATATTGCTGTGCTTTTTCTGTGTGCACTTAACTTTCCAGTCATTAATATTCAGTGTCACAATATCTAAGGAAATTTATTTCTTCAAATTGCTTGTGAAACTAGAACTAGGAAAAAGTAATTTAATAAGTGCTTAACCTTGGATGACCTAGCTGCCTCCTAGCAATCCTTGGCAGTCCCTTCTGGTGGCTGGAACACACCTGGAACTGACATTTCTGGACCTTTGGAACTGACATTTCTTTCTTTTTTTTTTGTGTCTGCTTTCTTTTCTTTTTTTTTTTTTTCTTTTTTAATTTTTTATTGTGACATTTCTGTTTACCTATTCTATCTGTTATTTTTAGCATGTATATTTTATGCACTTTTCTTGTTTTCTAGGCTTTTTGTGAATTTTGTAAGTTTTAGATACCTTTTTAAAAATAACATTAGAAGTTGGAGGTGGAGATGTAACTTGGTAGAGTACTTGCCTACCATACCCGAGGCCCTGGGCTCAGTCCCTAGCTTCTAAAAGAGAGAGAGAGAGAGAGAAAAAACAACCATATGAATAGTTGGTTTTGTTTATAGCTCATTTTTTCAATTATTCTAATTTTTTAATATTGACATTTTGTTCCTACATTCTTTTTTTTTTCTTTTTTATTTGTTTTTTACTTGTAGGTGGACACAATAACCTTTATTTTGTTTTTATGTGGTGTCCAGGATCAAGCCCAGTTCTTCATGTGTGCTAGGCGAGTACTCTACCACTGACCCCCAGCCCTAGCCCCAGTTCCTACATTCTTTTCAGCAGAATACTGATTTGGGATATCTCTTAAATTTATACATGAAAGATTTGCAAGATGTGTCCCTTTTGCTACTTTCCTTCTGAGATCCTAACAACAGATATTTGCTGATTGCTGACTGTGTATCAGACTTCCAGACTAATCCACTTTACTTAATTGTCATAACAATACTGAATTAGATGCTGTTGTTGTCTGTTTTAAGAGTAAAATGTGACAGGGAAAGTTAAATCTCTTATCCAAGGTCATTTCAGTAGTAAATAACAGCTAGAGCGGAGACCCTAACCTCTTTGTCACTAGGCTATTAATAAATCCTTTATATTTCTATTAGTAGAGATTAGATGAATGAAATCAACATTGACTTCAACATATAGCTTCCCATACAGAAGGATTTGTAAGTTGTCAGGGTTGAGAACTTTCTGTAAAACTTCACTAAAGATAGACCAGGATGTCGATTTGGAGAAATGAGAGCCAACTCTTTCTCCTTCAGGGTAGGTCTGCAGGGCATCCTGGAAATCTGATCAAGGCAACAGCAGCGCCTTTTATTTGCAAACTAAGTTCCTTTAAGCACTCTTGTTAGATTACTTCATCTGAACTTCCTTACAAAATGGGGTCATGACCTCTTCATCTTGCTTTGAGAAGGAGCATCAGAGACCTAAAGCAGTGAAGTCATTAGATATGAGGTGACACAGCCTGAGAGAACAGAGGGGGGCCTGTACCCAGGGCGGGGGCAGTGCCTGCTGCTGTCTGCACCCTTCCCACCAACTCCGAGGGACCGAGGGACCTAGATTCGAGGGACCGGCTGTATTGCCTGTGTTTCCTCTTAGCTCTTCTTTTGCTTGTTCTGTTATTAATGGGACTTTGAAACTCAGTGGTTTCTGACTGAGGTTTTACTGAACTATGATGATTTTAGGGTGCCCTGGTTTTCTATTCTGTGGCGGTGTCTGCTGTTTAGTTGAACAGAAACTCTGTTTTGAAACTAAAATATCAATCACTGCTGGCTCTCCGTGTTTATGTCCCCCAGTTACCTTATATCAAGGATTCTGGCATGAGTGACAATAAAGAGTTCAGAAGCTTCCCACTGTGATGAGAGTTATAGGGGAGAAGGAGACAGGAATCCTCCTGCATAATAAGTGACAGTGAAGGTGGGCTTTGGAGTCATAAAGCCCTGGTCTCCAGTCCCAGACATACATATAGCTCTGTGACCTTGAGCAGGTTGCTGTGGTCAAGACTCTGCTGTCTTCAATGACCGTATGGCCAGAATCCAGAAGGGACAGTTGGGAAGATTATATATGAGATTTGTCTGTACAGTATGTGGCATGGAACAAGAGATTAAGAATTCCTACCTGCTCTATTAGAGTAGTAAATAATAATATAAATAAATGATACCTGTTATTCTTGGTTCATCATGTCATTATAAGATGCAGCCTAGTAAGAACCCAGAAGCCAGGCTGCTTGGTTGTGGATCTTGGCTTTGTGCCTTGGAGCAAATAGCTTCACCTTCCTCTGCCTCCATTTGCCTGTCTAGTAAATGGAGGTACTGATTGTACTGACCTCATAGGCTTCTTAGGGGATAAAGTGGACCAGCATGTACAAGCACACAGCATAGAGCCTACC